CGAATCACTTAAGTGCCCGATTTCCTTTGTCCATTGTGATTTACATTTGCATGTTCAAAAAAAGCTTTCAATTCATGTCTTGTGTGTCAACTCTGTAAAATTTCCACCTTCAGATGATTACAACAGAGTATTGTTATACGAGGGGTCGAGTCAGGATAGCAACCATGATGAAGGTCATGAGGAAGCATCATCTGATAGTGAAGACGATTCCGAGTCCACTAAATACATCAACGCCTCCAGCATTCACGTGTGTATTATTTATTTATTTATGTTTGCCGAAATTACAGTAACAAGTAGTTCTTTGGCCATTACGGGCACTGAAATGCAATCTTCATCAATCCATCCGTTTTCTAATTTGCTAATCCTCACAAGGGTCGCAGGCATGTTGGAGCCCATCCCAGCTGTCTTCGGGCGGTAGGTGGGGTACACCCTAAACTGATTACCTGCCACTCACTGGACACACATAGACGAAAAACCATTTGCGCTCAAATCACACCTAGGGACAATTTCGAGTCGTCCATTAACATGCCATGCATGTTTTTGAAATGTGGGAGGAAATTGGAATACCCGGAGAAAACCCACGCAGGCCCAGGGAGAACATGCAAACTCCACACAGGAAAGCTGGGGGCCAAATTCGAACCTTGCACCTCTGCACTGTGTGGCCGACATGCTAACCAGTCATATACCACGCCCCCCTGAATGCAAAATTGACCTTTTAAATTTAAAGCATTGTTTATCTTCAGGCGGCCCGGTAGTCCAGTGGTTAGCACGTCGACTTCACAGTGCAGAGGTACCGGGTTCAATTCCAGCTCCGGCCTCCCTGTGTGGAGTTTGCATGTTCTCCCCGGGCCTGCGTGGGTTTTCTCCAGGTACTCCGGTTTCCTCCCACATTCCAAAAACATGCATGGTAGGCTGATTGAACACTCTGGATTGTCCCTAGGTGTGAATGTGAGCGTGGATGGTTGTTCGTCTCTGTGTGCCCTGTGATTGGCTGGCAACCGATTCAGGGTGTCCCCCGCCTACTGCCCGAAGACAGCTGGGATGGGCTCCGGCACCCCCGCGACCCTAGTGAGGATCAAGCGGTTCGGAAGATGAATGAATGAATGAATGTTTATCTTCAGTTCAGCCTGCAAATCAACAATTAGTATAAGGGAGAATACGATTAAATTCCATCTTTTATTTTATTTAACAGTCTGTTGCGACAAAAATATTTGTTCCAAAATTGCACCCTTTCTGAACTCGTATGAACTGTATGACTTTTTCATTGAAGATCCCTGATAGCCACCAATGGACAGATTTGATGTTTTCTTTGCGCACACAGGGCTACTGGGGTCCACATAGCTTCATTACAGCACAGACTCCTTTAGCAAACACTGTCGGTGACTTTTGGTTGATGGTTTACCAGAAGAAAGTGTCCACCATTGTCATGCTGTCAGGGGCCAGTGCTGATGAAAAGGTATTCAAATAATAATCAGACTCCAACATGTATTCGCCATGTCAAATGAGATTTTACTTGCTTGTGCATAGGAGTCTGCGTACTGGGAAGAGGAGAAAAGCACTTTCGAGGATATTGAGGTGGAGGTGACGTCAACAGACGCTTCTCCCAATACGATCAAGCGTGACATGCTGATTAATCACATCAAGGTGCCGCAACCTTCATTCACTCAGTTTACGTCCGCTCTCACTCAGTATTTAATTTCTTCCTAATTCTTCGGTCAACAGAGGAAAGAGAGTCGCGTCGTGAAACACGTCCAGTTCCTCAAGTGGGTCAATAGAGAGGTGCTGGAGAATCCCCAAGATCTGACTGACATGATTAAAGAGGTCAAGCACAATTGTGACTGTGGCAAGGCCCAAAGAGGCCCTCCAGTTGTGGTCCACTGCAGGTAATCAACCACGCAGGGAATCTGCATCACCTGTCAATCACGGACTTGCATGATATTGAAGGCCGTTTATTTAACATGAACACCACATATTATCCATTTATTATTAACCCTTTCATGCACCCTGTGACCTGATAACATAAGCCTGTCCACTGTAGTAACCGTTGTCCCTGAAAGGGTTAAAACACAAATATGGAAGTAGTTATCAAGGCTGCTGACAGGCAATGCTAAAAAAAATAAAATAAATAAAACACATCACTAGAACTGGAAATGGTAAAAAGATGTCAGAAAGGATCAATAAAAAAAGTGGATTTGTGCCACTGGTTTGAAATAAAGAAAAACCTTTGTTACGACAGATCATCAGTAGATTCATCTAAGTCGACTGTGTGTAATGCTGTGAAGTGATGACCAACTTGTGTGTGTGCGTGTGTGTGTCTGCGTGTGTGCGCGAACGCATGTTGCATCTCCTCAGTGATGGCTCGTCCCGTTGTGGTGTTTTCTGTGCTCTGTGGAGCCTGCTCGACAGCGCTGAGAATGAAAAGGTTGTCGACGTTTTCAACGTGAGCCGAACCTTGCGCAAGGACCGGCACGCCATGATTGCAAGTCTGGTAAGAACTACGAGTGTGTTCATACTGTGGATTTGCTGATAGCTTGGCTGCTCAACTTGAACGTGAATCCACCGTCAAGTCATTCCTTTTCAGCATATCGCGCTTTGACTCCCAAATTCATTGTGGGGAAGCAACCCAGGTTACATTTACGCCATAGGAAAGTCTTGCGGACAAACACACGAAACATCGCACGCTATTTCATATATAGTACATTACTCGCGTTAATTGAATAGAATGCTTTTTGGAAATAAGACTGAGACAGTGGCCAGCACATCAGCCTCATAGGTTAACTTAAGACTCTCAGTCAACCAAAAGTTTGATTGTGTTTGTGTGTAAATGGCTGATTTTCTTCCTATATGTGTCCCGTGATCGCCAACACTAAAAATGTACCTAAAATCAGCTGGGCAGTATAAAGCAACATCGAAAATTGATGTTTTAAGTAACATGTTAATCATACATACAATTCGAAAAATAAGTGTATATAACAAAGTAAAACACCGACAAGTAATGACTCACTCAAATGTGAACAGTGTCCATAGTGAAGAGTGTCATCGTTGCTTTTTTTTTTGGAAGCGTTCTTAACTCATTCAGTACCAGCCAATTCTGGACCAAGTCTGAAAAGACGTTTAAAACCGTCTTTGGGAGTGAATGAGTTTTAATTGCCATAGATTTAAAAGATTGTTAACCGGTGAATGAAACAACCAATAATAGTGTCACAATTACCTTGAGGCATGGTGGACGTGCACAGATTACTGTGTGTGCCACGGAAGGTGAGTCTCCAGACATAAATGCTCAACACAGCTGACTTCAGAATGTACATACACTGTGATCTTCGTTTGTGACTAATGTTGACTTGAGCTGACGAAAAAGCAAAACAGACTCGCATGCGTGCATTTTTTACTGCTCGGCGATATATTGTATCTCTATATTTGTGTGCCTCCCTTTAAACCATCGTGTGCTTTTTGACAGGACCAGTACCGGTTCTTGTATGATGCACTGGATGGGGTCTATCCTGTCCAGAACGGAGAGGTGAAAGCAGTTCGGGCCTCAGAAGCGGACTCTGTCCAATTGGTCAATGAAACATTATCAGGGCAGGAAACGGAAGAGAAGACTGCAGACGTAGCCAGCAATACCGAGATGGGCCAACAAAAGGCTGCAGAGAGTGATCCCGTGGTGCCCCAGGGAGGGCAAGAGGATAAAAAGGAGGCCGAAAAATTATCCGGCAGCCTCACGGAGACGCACGGTGTCACTCCGGAGGTCTGAGGGGTTGCAGGTTCATTTGCAGCAACGTGCGCTTCAACAGGATGCTCCCCTGTGGTCCACTAATCATATTAGGAACCAAGCTAGATGTTGTTTTCGAGGCCTCGAAACCTTCAATTTATTGGGGATCTTTCCAAGTTATGTGAGCGAGCAATGCGGACAACACATCATTTTGTTCAGGTTTCTGCATCTTTTACTTTTGGAATGCTTTTCTTAAGCTTGTGGAAGATGATAAAAATGTCACTGGGCCATATATCACTTTTACCGCATATCTTAAAATGGGTGAATTGAGCATGTTTCCGTACATCATTGCTTCATCTGAGAATTTACTTCAAAATGTTATCGTGTAAGTTATTACATGATACTGCATTATTAACTAAGCTATATATTTTTTAAATGATCTTCATCGGCCTTGATGTCTGTATTAAGTATCTCTGCTATCATGCCTATGGAAAGTGTCTGTACAGTACTTGTGTGACTTATGGAGGGTACTCTAATTCACTAAAGCTAGCCAGTGTCTATGTCGAGGAGATTTCAGATGAAAAACGTTAAGGCTAGACGGTTAAATTAATAGTTTGAAAGAATGTCTTAAGATGAAGATTTTAAAATGCATCGATATGGTCTGTAATTAAAAAAACCAAAATAAATACATTAGCAAGTAAATTGTGAAATCATTGTGAAAAGTTTACCTAAGAATATTAACATTCATCTAAAAACACAAGTGCAATGGTGTAACAAGTATAATATAAAAGAAACAATCAATCAGAGCATCATCTATATTTTTGATGTGCACAAAATATCTTGCTTGAAGTACAAAATACTATACTGCGTATGAATGCATCCACACAACACCCGCCGCTCACCAACATGTCACAGTGATCTGTGGATGGTCATACGCTGTGCCTAGAACTACATTCTAGAGTTAAACTGTTGCATTTACGGTACTTTCTTTTGTCTCTTTGTAGCAACATGGCAAGTCGCATATTTTCCCTCCACAAAACTCTTTTGCGAAGGACCACTGGAAATGTGCCAAAATGTGTTCTGGCATCACATGGCGAAAATGCTACAGTTTCATTTGTAAAATGTCACCCAAAAAAGATAAGCGTGCATCATTTCAAGGCAAAACATCTTCCCAAGCGTCTTCACTCGTCACATGACTCGAGCTCCATTCTCCTTCTCCTCGTGCTCGAGTTGATATGTCTCCGTGACTATGTGTCCCGCCTTCACGACTCCGGGCCTTCAGCCCTTCCGTGGACGTTTTCGGCTCAAGCCATCACAGTCCACGTGGATCACACGGAATATTATTCGAGTTTCGTCATCACCGCCGTTTTCTTACTTTTTGTCCCCTCTGTCGAACTTGACCTCTGCTCCACTGTTCAATGAGGCCTGCAAGGCAGTTGCCGGTCGGACCTTGGCGGGATCTGACACAGTTTTGGTGTTGTCCCTTTGGGCCTTGGCAGTCTCTGGACGGGCTTTGGATTTTGGAGGTGGAGGGGCTGCAGGCTCCCAGAGGAAGAACTCATGCAGGAGAGTGTTAACAGCCTCTGGACATTCCATCATGACCATATGACTGCCATCTTCCAGGAGCTTTAGGAAGCCGATGAGGAGGATCTGACAGATGCAAAAACAACAATAACAATAATAATAATAATGTGAAAAAAGCACTTCCTTTGAAGTCACAATGCAAGCTGATATTGAAAGTACCTCTCCTGCTTTTCAGCTCTGAAATGTTGTACCTCTGAATCAAACAAATAACGCTGCAATTCAGATGCGCAAGTCAGAACGGCAACTCACAAGCTCAAGGAAAAAAAAAATGCATACCCCCCAACTTCACTAAGATGCATCTGATGTCACGCTACAATGCTGCCTAAAATGGCAATTTGACGATTACTGAATATGAATGATCCCATTATTCATCGGTTATCATCTCTGCACGTAAACGGGTATGAATGGCGCACGTTGACATGTAACATACATCACACTCACACCTTATTTGAATGATCCCATTATTCATCGGTTATCATCTCCTCTGCACGTAAACGGGTATGAATGGAGCACGTTGACATGTAACATACATCACACTCACACCTGTGGCCGATTTTGAATGTTCAATTCTATCGTCAAAAAGGTCAGATGGACATGTCTGCCAAGTGCTCTTGCAAATATGTCTGTAAAGGCCGAATCTTTGACGCAGCTCTCGTATTGGATTCATTCCACTGTACCCATGGACCTATTAAAGTGGCAGAAAACAAAAATGGAATTCCGGCCATTGACTGGAAACAGTATCAGAATATATTACATGTTTGAATTTGTTCAGCCTGGATGGAGGCCTGCACAGAATATGCAAATTTATTTTGGTGGGTACTATTTCAATTCAAACCATGGTTTGCCCTGAGTTGAACCCTTTCAAGGACAGCGGTTACTACAGTGGACAGCTTATCATGTTATCGCTTACAGGGTGAATGAAAGGGTTAACATGCCGGACCAACTTCCCGAGTAATTTGGGGTGTTTACCTCCGCCATTCGTTGGTCTTCCTCAACGGGGACAAACTTGTCGTGGATTCCATGAACCAGCAGGATGGGCACTGTGAGCTCAGCGTGATAGACTTCATCGCCCTCGGGCCAATATTGCCCACTCATCATGGCACGCAGCACAAAAGCCGAAACGTTGAAGGCGTTGTTCTCTTTCAGCAGCCGCTTCTCCTTTGCACCCTGACGAGCAAATCCGGCCCTGTGGCCGTGGGGGGCACCAAGGAAAAGGCACAGATAAATACTGTCTACGTGAGGTACAATAGCATTCAAACGTGTGTGACCTAGCTCGAATTCCAACATTTGTCTTGATCTGCCTTACTTGAGAAAACTCCAGCTGAGCAGTGGAGAAAGGCAGTCAAGCACACATGAAGGCAAGTTGAAGACAGAGAAGAGGCTGGGCTCCAACGCTGTGGGGCCACCTCCATTGATCATCACCATCTTGTGGATCTGTTCCGGATATTCGTGAGCCAGGAACGTACAGAATGACACTCTGGTGCAAAAAAGAAGATAAGAATAAGTTTTTTATCACCCACTTGAGTCATAAGAAATAGTTGATGATCAAACGGGAAGTATAAATGAAAGTATAAATTCTTACTGGAGGTTCAGTATTTTAACCCATCCCAGGTTAAGTGTTTCCTTCACTGATAATAATCCTAAAGTGGTCAAAAGGATCAACTTTTCAAGTAAAATAATCAGTCAATAGACATCTCGTTATTACAAGAATATTTACGATGATTCACGGGTGGTGGCTCTTCTGTAATGCACATTGAACAGATGCAAAAATCAGACTATTGAACACGCTAAATTGTCTCTAGGTGTGATTGTGAGTGTGAATGGCTTGTTCGTAAATGTGTGCCCTGCGATTGGCCGGCAACCAGTTCAGGGTGTACCCCGCCGATTGCCCGAGGACAGCTGGGATAGGCTTCGGCATGCTTGCGACCCTCGTGAGGAGAAGCTGATTAGAAAACAGATGAATGGATGAAGTGAATTTCCATTCACCTGTTCCAGCCCTGAAAAACCACAAGTTTTTGTTGTGTTTTAAAGAAACAAAAAATGGCTATGTATGGTATAAAAACCCAATAAAACATAAACGAGAATGGGGAAAAAAAATCTTTTTTAAAAAGCGCCATTACTGTACATTGGGACATGCTGGAAGCAGGCATTTGTCTGAGTTTTAGATTACGGTAGTTTATGTGTTTTACAATTTGTCCCATTTGATTACTGGCAGAGTGTGCGGCGACTCTGAGTCTACTTTTTTATTTTTTTATCTGCATCACTCAAGGGGTGGCGTATGTGAACTTTGGTCCGCAACCCAAAGCAAAAAGTTGAAGAAGCAATGACTCATTTGGGACACTCGAAAGTCAAAGACAGGTAGCGCTCAATTTAATTTTCCAGTAACCATTGTTGTTAACTACTTTTCAAGCTGCAATTGCGTTATATTGAGATGACTCGATTGGGGATCATTCATACTCATGACGCATCCAAACAGCACAACAAAATAGCAAAGGATATTGTGGCTAGGTCGTGGTTGTGAAGACAGCTTTGTCATGATTCTGTTTGCGACCAACAGGTGTGCAGCTGCAGGGAGAGCCCTACAGTGCTACCTGTTGGTCACAAACAGAACCATGACAGTGTGCTGGATGCCATATGCAGGTGCTGCTGCCTACAATGTTATTTGCTAGAAATTAGCAAAGCAGCTGCCATAAAACTACTACGGTTCCACAGGGCCCAGAGCCAAAGAATATTTTGAGTCCAATTGTTAGCATTTTTTTTAAATTCTTGCTGAATCCTATCGCTTAGGTGTCTACACAGGTGTGAGCATTATCTGCTCTACTTGTGAGTGAGTTCAATTCTGGTTGTACGCGTCCGTCCTGCTAATACCATATTGGCCCGAATATAAGACGGTGTTTTTTGCATTGAAATAAGAATGAAAAAGTGGGGGTCGTCTTATATTCGGGGTCTAGACATTATACCCATTCACGATGCTAGATGGCGCCAGATATCATTGAAGCGAATGCTGAACTTGACTCTCGAGGCCAAAGTGAACCCCTGTCACGAAGAATAAAAATTAAAATAGCGGTAGCACGAAGAAGAAAAATAAAAAATAGCGGTAAGAAAGAAAAGAATAGAAGAGATAACAGAAAATGGAGAAACGTAGCGACAATCTGGAGAAAAGTGGGTCAAAGATCGGCCAGGTTACCGGCAGCCGAGGAGAAGTTTTGATGTAATTTACATTTCAAAAACCAGAAGCCATTTATTTACGAATGTGATTGCACTTTAGTTTACATATTTAAATGTTCAGATATTAAGATTTGAATGAGGCAAAATAACATGCTTTTTCTCTCAAATATATTGTTGTAATCATTTGTTTCAGATGTACTGTAATTATTTTCTATATAAAAATTAATTTGGTGTTCAAAAAGTCTTTTT